CATTTCAAAAGGACCAACAGAGGAAGAGAAACCCTGCAGGAGACAGTGGGGGGAGGTTAGAAAAGAGAGAGGAGAAGCAGGAAGGCGCCATGTCACAGACGCCAGGGGGTCGAGTGCTTCCCGGAGGGCTGGACATCTAGTGTTCAGGGTCAGGGACATTGGTGACGTCTGCAGACTCGGTTGAGTGGTGGAGATGGATGCTTGGTTGTGTCGAGGCACTCGCGAGACGTGGGGAGGCAGAGCCAGGAGGGAGACGCACCCGCCCCAAGTCTGAATGAACAGGGAAGCAGAAGCAGGGATTGGATGGCCCCCAGCATCCACCCAAAGTTGGTCTTCAGGGGTCGGAGAAAGATCTTATTTGGAGGCGAGGATAGAGCCCATTTAGAAGCAGAGGTTGAAGACGGAGGGGAGAGGTGCGAGGTGGTGGTGTTGTCGTGAAACGTGTGGGCTTGAAAACCAAAGAATTTGTTCAATTTCTGATTCTGCCATTGCCAGCACAGCTCTCTGGGAAAGCTACTTAAGCATTTTTTTTTTTTCCCATCAGTGAAACAGGCACATTAGTACCATCAGCTTATATCGTTTCGAGGATTAGAGACTGGGTGTGTGAAGGACCTTTCACGAAGCAGGTACCTCAAGTTAGCTTAGTTATCTCACTTCTCAAATTTTGTACAAATATTTTAAAATCTTTTAACATGGAAGTTTCTAACATATATGTGAATACAAAGAGTAGTATAATGAATTGCCACGTGACCATCACGTAGCTTCACCGACTGTCAAGTTCGGGTTGATGTTATTGTTCTATATTTTCTCGCACTTGCTCTTCTCCCTGGTTATTTTGAAGCAAATTCCAGCTGTTCTATGATCTCATCTATAAATATTTCAGTCAGGATCTCTGAAGATGAGGAGTCAGTCCATTTTTTAACATAAACATAATACCATCATCCTCTCACCCGCAGAAAAACAGCAATAATTCCTTAAAATTATTAAATGTCTACTTAGTATTTCTCCAGTTCTGTGACTATGCCTTTTTTCAAGTTCCACGTATCGTAACAGTTTAATGTGTCTCTTGCATCTCTTCTACGCTGTAGGTTCCTTGCTTGTTCTTTCTCCCCTTCTCAATTCTTTTGTTGTTGCTTTGAATTTACTATATTCCCACGGATTGCTTTCCCATGGTGTCATTTAGCACATTTCTCTGCTCTTTGTAGATCAGTAAATTGGTAGTTACATTTGGAGGCCTGGTCAACATCAGGTTTGATTATTTTGGCAAGGCTGCCACTGCTACGGCTGTATTGTGGAAACATCGATGTATTTTTGTGAATTTGCGGATGCTGATAATTGTTGCCTAGGCATTACGAATAGCATTTTAAATATATTTCTTAATATCATGTTATTATAGGTGTAAATACCCCTCAAATCAATAAAAATACATTGCATATTGACTGCAAGGTGAAATTATAAATAGTTTTTCATTCAAAAATATCAATTGACTTCTCTATGCCAAACATGGTTCCAAGTGGTGTATGATACAAAGGTCTCTCTATACGGAAGTTTGGGCTTATAAGCTGATAGTAAAAAGGTGCAGGGTTTTGTGAAGTTGGTAAAGGATTTTGCAGAGCTGTTGTTGTAAAGGATGTTGCAGCCGGGGAAGTGTTGGCATGCGAGGGCCTTGTTCGGAATGATGTGCCCAGCCATGTTTGGGACCAAGTGGTGCTTGGAGAAGGCGATGGAACACTGAAATAATTTTCAAGAATGATCTGTTATCTAGCCGGAAAAGTCAGACACAAGATACAGAATATTTCATCATGATATCCTGCAGTACAAACCATGTAAAAACAACCCAGTCTGTGCTCTGTTTATTCTAAGAATTAATACATGGCTCAATATAGTATTCTAAGTATAGAATAAATTGGCTTTTATTACTTTTGTTTCTATTTTAGGATTAAATTCAAGTCAACCTTTTTTTCTTCCCAATTAACTGTGACATCTTGGTCCCTGCTTACGTGGATTCACTTTGCAATTCTAAGTTTGTCCGGATGCTGGGGCTTCTTGTTTGCAAGGACTCTTCCTAATTGCTGTTTTCAAGGTCACTTTGGGCAGCCTTCCATCAGCCTGTGCAGGGGGCCTGGGCATCCGAACAGCCACAAGCGACGTCTGAGGCAAGGAAGGTTCTGCAGACCTCGTGGTGTGGGGTTCAATTTCATCTGGCACCAACCAGTTACTCTGAGCAGGAAGGCTTAGTCAGGGGCTACCTTGTGCTTTGGAACCACCTGCCTTGGGGACAGGGTCCTGCTGCTTCCAGTTCTCGTCTGAGTCTATGGGAGGTGGGTCTGGCTCCTCACCTGGAGCCTCTGCCGCGAACTCCCTGCACGCTGCTCCTCTAAACACAGCTGCACCCGTGGTGCTGAGGCCCGGCCACCCGCCACGGAGACTTTCCCCACCACGCTACTCTGCACCTCAGTCCACAGGTGCACGGGGTGGCTTGCTGAGGGCAGGTTTGGTTAGATGGGCAGATAAAGAAAACTGAGATTGGAGGAGGGAGGCATCCTGAGAGAAGAAAAAACAGAATCGTTGTGAGTGTGAGCCCTGAAGACACACAGCCACCCGTGCCAGGGCCGGCCTGCCTCTCACTGCCAAGGGTCCGGAATGGCTGGAGTAAAGATTTTGTTTCTTTTTCTTTCCTCCCATTTCTTTCATGTTATTTCATTTTTCCAACACAGTACACTAGTATCTGATTTAGCCTTTTCTTTATATTGTCCCTCATTTCCTTCTTTTCTTTGGCTTAATTTTTATTTTCATTTGCCTTTTGTTTCCTTTAAGCTTTTATTTCCTTTTTCTTTTTCTTTTCTTTTCTTTTCTTTTTTTATTTTAGCGTATTATGGGGGTGCAAGTGTTAAGGTTACATATATTCTTTTGCCATTTCTTGTGAATTTTCTCCCTTTCCTTTTTTTCCTTTCCTTTTCTTGTGTTGGTTTATTACTTAGAGATGAAATGTTTTCTGTCTGCCTGTTATGTGGGTAAAGTGTTAACTTTGGCGAGCAGCTGTTTGGTTGCAGACAAAAAACTTGAGTGCCAAGGTTTCTCTTGACAACGTTTTGACACTTGGAACCACCTGCTGAAGCTTGTTTCCTGTGGGGCTGAAACTATCGTAGACATAGTGTCCTAGTTTAATATGTGATAGATAGCACAGCCTATTGTATTTTAGACATTAGTTCACTCTTTTCTTCAAATGTGGTATCTTCTTTTTTCGCTTCTTTTCCTTCCTCCTTCTCTGCCTTCCTTCCTTCTCTCCCTCCTTCCTTTCTCTCTCTCTCTCTCCTTTTCCTTCCTCTATTGCTCTCTTTTGCCCCCTCACCTCCCTCCTCTCTTTCTTATTTTCTTTTGTTATAAGCCAAGACAGTGGCTCCTAGGCCAACCCTGAGAAAAACTGTCATGTAGATAAAATGACATATGTTTTGTCACTTTTTGCATTCCTCCTCTAGTGCCAGTGAGCTTTGTGATATCATCACTTCCTCAGACTTCATAAACAGCAGGTCAGAATTCTTTGTTGGCAGCAGTAAAGATACAAAACAGGCATCCTCAAACTGTGGCCCGAGGGCCACATGCGGGCCACCTAGCACATTTATCCGGCCCTCCGGGTGTTTTTGCTGAGGCTGTCTGTCCTCCTTAGCAGCCGACTCATCCCGGGTCCACAGTGCGCACTCTCTAATGGTCTGAGGGACAGTGAACTGGCCCCCTGTTTAAAAAGTTTGAGGACCCCTGATATGAGATAAAAGAAGGTGTGGACCACTAGTAAATAGATCCCTGCATTACAACCCTGGGAAATCTTAATTTTCAGAAATCATTTCTGAAGTTGATTCTTGATTAGGTTCCCAACTTTTCAGTCTCAGGACCCCTTTATACTCTTAAAAACTATTGAGGAACCCCAAGGAGTATAGGTTATATCTGTCATATTAAAATTTACTGTATTTAGAAATTAATATTGAGCAAAATTTAAAACACAAAAATTTTCATAGCCACCAGAGCCTCTGGAAATATCTCCTGTATACTTGTGAGAGAATGAGAGTGATGAAATTAAACTACAATATTTCTTAATATTACTATGAAAATAGATTTGACCATGCAGATCCCCGAAAGGGACGCGAGAATCTCTTGGGTCCTCCACACACACTGTAAGAACGGCTGACTTAGATATTTGGCAAGAATTTGCCGAGTACTTTGTGCTGGGAACCCCAGATGTGTTGTCGGGAAGGTGGGAGACTATTGGAGGATTTTCCTGGTACCAGAAATCCGTACCACATGTTGAGCCCTGCTTTACCTTGCATAAGACAGTCCTGTACATCTGAAAAATGAGTTCATGTACATATTCAATGAATGATTTGGCATCTTTGTATAACCCTTCAAATCTTATTCAATGTGATTATAACCTGGCATTTGATGCCCAAAGCCAGCGTTTGAGTCACCCGCCCTGCGTTATATTGCACGAGAGTCTCATACTGGTATTCAGCCTCTTGGTACGATCACTATCAAGAAAAAGCACCAGGGGTTTTGGTTATGTTTCTTGTTACATGGTCAACCAAGTAACACTTTAGACATTAGGTGTGAACATGCATCCTCTTTTCTAGTTATCTCCCACCTATAAAAAAAAAAAGTCCTTTCACTTTCAAAAATGTGGTATAAAGTTACCATTTACAATCAATGAAACTGTGTTAACTGGCATCGCCGATCATTTCGGTAGACCTTTCTGGGGAGTTTCCACTTCTGTGTCCAAACATCTGACACACCGTGTCTAATCGTTTACTTCTTCTTTTCAGGTAGTTTTGAGATGGCTGTGCCATCAAATAGCCACGTCGTCTCAGAACCTGGGACAAATGTCACACTCCTCTGTCAGCTTCCAACGAAGTGGCCAGTGCAACAAGTTACGTGGGAAAAGATCCAGCCCCACCAGATCGACCTCTTAACTTGCTGCAATTTGTTCGAAGGCAGAAATTACACCTCAAAATACCAAAGGCAGATACTGACCACCTGCACCCAGGGAAGCAGGGGGACTTTCATCGTCATTCCCAGCGTCACCGCCTCTGACTCAGGACTTTACCGCTGCTGCTTCCAGGCCCGCACGGGAGAGAACGAGACCTTCGTCGTGAGGTTGACGGTGACTGAAGGTGAGTGCGTGACGGGCGTCTTCAAGCATCAGACGCAGAAACGGCCACTGCGGACCGGCCTCTGTCGTTCTGTTTGTGGCAAACACGTCCATTGGATGTGACTAACGTGCAGCATTTGTTTTTTTTAAATGGTTGAATTTAGGTGACTTGGCCATTATTAAATTTTAATGTTTAGCATTCCTTTATCTTACAGATCTATTAATCACAAATATAACAACAATGATCTTCCCTGTTTTCTTATCTGCCGCATTCTTGAAATTTGAAAAAAAAAAAAAAATTCAGTAAAAGTCTGAAAAACACATGGTATCTCCAGCCTACCTGTTTCAGCTATCTAACTCCTATCTTCTCAATCACATTAACATCGTGGATGGCGGTGACGAGGTGTTGGAATGCCCAGGTAGCCTAGATCCGTATGTGCCGAGTTGAGTGGGGTTTTGGTAATGTGGTTGCCAGCTTGCCCGATCTGAGCCTTGTTTGTCTCAGGCCTTTTCAAGCTTGGGCACAGAAACAGACTAAGGCTACGTCTAACAAAACTGACCGTCAAGGTTTCCACCTAGGCAGGCCCCGCCCAAGGCACTTCACTGACTCCTGTTATTAGTAATTTGTCTCCTTTGCTGTAATGAAGCCTTAAATTTTGTGAGCTCCAGGCCCCACAAGACCTAGAACCACCCTTGCAGGAGAGTGAAAACAATATTTCTTACCTAAAAAATGTGATTTGTTTTTTCTTTTCACTTACACAAGTGCAAATATAGACAGGCCCTTATAGAGAGAGGTCTTTATAGAGGCCTGTATTACAGTCGAGTGGGAGGAAAGCAATTTCAGACTTTCACTTCTGCCTCTGGACAAGCTTCCTCCCTCCCCGAGGATGCGTCAGGGATGAGACTTTCCTTTTTTCTCTTTCTCCCTCCCTTTTCTTCCTTTTTCCTTCTTCCTTCCTTCCTTCCTTCTTCCTCCTTCCTTCCTTCCTTCCTTCTTCTTCTTCCTTCCTTCCTTCCCTTCCTCCTTCCTTCCTTCCTCCTTCTTCCTCTCTCTCCTCCTCCTCTCTCTCTTCCTCCTCTTCTCTCTCTCTCTCTCTCTCTCGTCATAGCCATTAACCAGTTCATTTACCTTGACTCGTGTTTGGACTTTTAGAGCCGAGACTTCTTAGGCTTGGGCTGCCCCAGCACAGACTCTGCTTATGTTGCAGACTGATATTTCTTCCTGCATTGAAAATGAAGAAGGAAAGGTTTTGTGTAAACAGCAGCCTGTATTGCTGCTGCTGCGGCAGCTGTGTGTAACAAGGGGGACGTTTGCCAGGGGATAGCTAGCAGTTTTTTGTTTTTTTAATGCACCATCACCTTCACCACATCAAGCCTTCTTTGTTCCTCTGAATGACAGTGGGAACTGTGAGTGAGACACACAGGGGCCCTAGAAGCTAATGCAAAAGAGCAGTTGGTGGAATATCTGGGGGAGGAAAAATTAGCAGAGAGTCCTCATTTTAAATGTTGACTATATTCCTTCAAACATAGACAGGAAATATTTTTTAACCTAAAAAAAACCTGAAAGAAAAAAGGGTTTTTTTTTAACCTGGCCAGGAGAAAGAGTGAAAATAGACACTAACCTTTTCTTAGAAACCAAGACCAGAAAATGTTCTATTCAGAAAAATGTCATCAAGAATCATTTTCAAAGACATATGAAATTAAGACCTTGTCCATTTTATGCTGAAAAAGTAATTATAAATGTCTTCAATCACAGAGAAAATGAAGGTAATAGATTTTTAAGAGGTGTAATTATTTAACTCTCACTAATTAATAAAAATGCCATGCATTCGTCCAAACATGACTGAGTTTCTTGCACAAAACTATGTCTTTGTACATAAATTATAAACACTGTCAGACATCTGCCAATGAAATGAAGATGATTGCATTTAATTGTTAGTATTGTTAGTATCCACGAGTTCTTGAACAGTTGCAAATGGCTTTTTGACACTCAGTTGACAAATTGAAAGAATATCAACTGGACCTTACATCCATTAGTAAAAAGTTATAATTGACAGAAGATGACAGCCATTGACTGGGTGTTTTGGTTTAATTCCTTTTTTCAATTACTATAAGTGAAAGATTGAATATAAAAAATTAGACATAGAACAAAATAGATCATTTGTGCTTTCTCTGGGGCCATTTGATTATTTCAAGTCTTGAGGCTGTTGGGTCAAAAATCGATGTAGATATTAAAGCAGAGAGACAGGTATGAGATGTGGGGCAGATCTAATTTATTTCAGCCGTCAAGGGAAAGGTGATTGTGACACAGATTTTATAAACGGCTGTGCATGCTTTTGTTAGTTCCCATCAACTTCTTTTGTAGGTAGTACTGGATCTAAAAGGAAGATTTTTAGGGCTCTCATATTCATACACACACGCAGACACACAAATAGTAGGTCTTCCCCCAGCTTTTGAAATAGTTCTAGAGATACTTTCCTGAATTTGAAACTTGTCTGCATGCCAGGGCAAGGAACAGGGGACAATGTGTGCCTATTAATAATGACCAAAATAGCCAGTCATGAAAGAAGCATTTTAAGTGCCACCAAAAGAATTTATGAAGAAGTCTTTTACTATTTAATGAAATGATGTGCAGACTACTCTTGTTTAAACTGAGCTGATTGATGATAAAAAAAAACTTAGACAAAAGAAATGAAATCAGCTTGCACAGAAAGTTCTGGAGGAGATTAGTTTTGAACAAATTTATGTTTGCCGCTGATAAGTACATTTACTCAGGTCCTTGTGCGATCTTCTTGCAGCCATGAGGCCACTCAGCTGAACCATCAAGTTTCGCAGGAGGCATCGGCGATTAGAGCTGAAGAGTCAGGATAAGGCAGGTTGCGGGGAGCAGCACAGGATTTGCAGGACTGGGGAGGTGGCTGCAATTGAATGGCTGGGCTGGGGCAGAGTCCAAGTTGTGGATTCGTATGGCACCAGATAAGTTAAATTAGGTGACAACTTGGTGAAATTCTGAATTTTGTATAACACTCAAAGAAAGTCACTATTTTTTTTTCTTTTTTATTGGTAAAGAAGAGACAGAAATTAAGGAAGTTAAGGCTGAGTTGAGATGGGACAAGAGAGTAATCAATTGGATGGTAGTGGCCGATGCCTATGCTAAAGCAACATTTTTTTTTTTTGTTTGTTTGTTTTTTTGTTTTTTTTGAGACAGAGTCTCACTCTGTTGCCCCAGCTAGAGTGCTGTGGAGTCAGCCTAGCTCACAGCCACCTCAAACTCCTAGCCTCAAGCAATCCTTGTGCCTCAGCCTCCCGAGTAGCTGAAACTACAGGCATGTGCCACCATGCCCGGCTTTTTCTATTTTTGGTAGAGACGGGGTCTTGCTCTTGCTCAGGCTGGTCTTGAACTCCTGAGCTCAAATGATCCACCTGCCTCCGCTTCCCAGAGTGCTAAGATTATGGGCATGAGCCACCCGGCCCAACCAAAGCAACTTTTTGAAAGTTAAGGTTTCTTTTGCATCTGTAAGCAGGTATGTGGCCATGAGCAGACCTGGCTCACAAAGCTCATTGCCTAATCAAACTCTCCATTTGTAGCCGAAGTGCCATACTTTCCAAAAATGCCCAAAGTGAGTAAAGGGAAGCCATTTTTGTACTGTTCTGGTTGATAACAAATTCTGCTTGAATGCTAAGATCTACATAACATGAAAGACTTATAATATGAAAATTGATTAGATTTCTTTGTAAGGCCCCTCTTTAAGCTAGCTAAATGTATAGAAAAAAGTCCCAGATGACATAGACATTCATGTTTGACCAGTAGAAAAATTAGCTTTTTCAGAAAAAAAGTAGAAATTTTCCCTCTCTTTTTCTTCATTCTTTTTTTTTTATTTTTTCCCTCTTTAACTCATCAGATATACTTAGAGCACAAGTGAATTATAAAAGAAATCAGGGAACATAGATAGGACAAATGATGCTTATTATCAGGACACATGTTTGAGTCTGTGTGATACGTAGAAAGTCACTATCAATTCTTGAGTGAAGGTGGAAACTCAGTATTTAATAAAGAGTAAGTTGCTTTATAATTTTCAGTACAAGTCTTTCATCTCCTTGGTCAAGTTTATTTCTAAGTATTTTATTCTTGTTTTGCTATTGTCAATGGGATAATTTTCTTAATTTCTTTTTTGGATAGTTTGGGTACAGAAACACAATTGATTTTCCTACATTGATTTTGTACTCTGCCACTTTACTGAATTCGTTTATTAGTTCTGTTTTTAATTTTTTTTTTTGGTGGAGTTTTTAGGGTTTTATACATATGCCATCATGTTATCTGTGAACAGAGATAATTTTACTTCTTCCTGGGCACAACTGTGGCCGACACGGGAGAGAGACGTTGTCAGTGTGATCTGAATCTCAGTTTGTGCTTCCCAGTGTCTTGAGACAGCCACTCACACTTTCCTACCTTCTTTTCTTAACCAACCTACTAAGTTTCACCACATCCACCTCCTTTCCTGTAGAGTTTCAGGTCTCAACGTCTTCGTGTTTTTTCCACATTAGTTGGGACTGCTTTCTCGTCATTGAGCCATTAAGTATCTTGCATTTCTCAAACTTTTATAACTTGAAAATTGCTACCCTCGAATGACTTAATAACTGCAACTATTTATAATGGCCGGAACTCTTATTGTCAGCAATTACTTGAGATTAGGGATTATGGCATCTCTGTTTAAAGTTGTCCCAGTATCTTTCCAGAGTATGCTCCATAAGTGTTCTTGACTGATTATATGTTAATATTTCCATTTATTCTAGTAGGGACTATGCTCGTTTTAGGTTCAAGTCTTCTAGTTAGATTATTTCTAGGTTTTCTTCGTCAATGATTAACATTTGAGGTTTAGTGATTGCTGATCAAAGAAACTGAACTTTCAGAAGATCAAATGCAATGTTTGGGGAGAAAATTTTCATGAACTTTTGTTTACATATGTAACTTTCAGAAAGGTCTATTTCTTTTTTTAACTTTCATTTTCTTATTTTGCACTT